AAAGCTGCCTTTCTTTTGACTCACTGTACCCATTTTTGTTAGTAATTAGAAGAAGAAAAAGGAGAGGATGTAAATCTTAGAAAAGAAGGAAGCTGAAACCTACCCACCTTTTTACCCTACCTTTCTTATGCAGGGGGGCCCGAGACGCCCTGGTGGGGTCCTAGTCGTCCCGAAAACTGGACAACGAGAGACTTACCTTTGGGTCCCAGTTTGGGCACCTCTTGCCGGGGTCCAGCCCCAGCAGGATCCAGGGGAACCCTCAGGATGAACGGCGTCAGGGAGAGAGAGACAGAGACCAGACCGGGGTGTGCAGCAGGGTCTGGCCCAGCTTTATTTTTCACCGTAGCCTTTATATCCTGAGCTGGTACACTTCTAAGGGGCAGATAAGCACACAGACTTAGTTTAACATCACATCAGCTTGTCCTTCGCGAAACCAGGTGTGCTCTGTATATTTTTGTTTATGAGAGTCTTTTCCATAGATTTTTTTGTCCATTATCTTCTGGCCTTGAGCTTAGCAGAAAGCAGAAAAGTGGCGATCTCATGGCACAGCAGGTTGGAACATAGTAGAAATACAATCCTGTTAACACAAAGGTCAGTCTTTTGCAGAAGTTCTCAGCTAAATTTATCTAAAAAGTATACCATACAAAGACTCTGCGGCTCTGGTGAGGCAGACTCTGTTTAGCACTCCTGGTTAAAATTAACCATTATCTTCTTATTTTTACACTAGGACTAAACTCCTATTTTTCTAAATCCTTAACTATAACACTTTTAGAATAATATTTTTGTGTTCTGTAATAGGGCTTCCTCACCCCCTGGAGGGCTCTGTGCCTATTAGGGCCTTTCTTATGGTTAATCTCTACGTATAATATCTTTTGGCCTTCAGGCCTGTTGACATTTTATGGGTTGCACCTGGTGGAACTTTAAGCAACTTCAGTAGCCGACCCTGTCTTTTTTGTGGTTAATCTATTTTCTTTCTATTAGGCATCATCTCCATGGGAACTAGATAGGATTGCATTTTTACAGAACAGAAATGCAAAGGACTGCAAAAACAGCAGATATGGCACAAAACAGGCTCTTAGTCTAAAAGTCAATTACCTGCAAGAAGTCACCAGCTAATCTCTATCTAAACTATTTTCTATTACGCACATTTGTGGCTATTTTATTTGTGGAGCTTTTCTCAACCTGCAGAGGGACCTATGCTTAATGGTGTCTTTTGTTAGCGTACTGTGCTTAGGATGTTTAGAACAACCTTGAGCATTTCTTGCAATGGGAGCACACATTTATCACACAAGCCAGAATGCCAGCAAAAGGATTTGAATTGAAGCATTTCCTTCATCCCTGGCCCCTTCACAGGGTACCAGCATCCAGGAGATTCATTAGTTGGGGTTTTAAGTTGGTCCTCATTCAGTGAAAGAGGAGCAGGAGAGCTCTGAGCAGGCAACACAAGAATCTGCAGCAGGGCAAACAAGAACAACAGCAGAAAAGCGGGGAGGATGCAGGGCGGGGTAGAGGCCGGGGCCAACCTGGAGGGTCCCTTGTGTCCTGAACGCCCTTGCGTGTCAGGTCTTTTCCTCATGACCTCGTCATGGGCGGGATCTCCCACAACGGCTCCCGGCATCTCCCCCTTGTTTATTTTTTAAAACAGCCAGATGAATTTCAGTTGCAAGCTTCTGAGTGCTCTGACGAAGAGCTCTGCCGATACAAGGGAGGACAACAATAATAATAAGGATCAGTGCTATTACAGCAATGTAACTGAGACTAATAGACAAAATGTTTTTGGCAGAGATAAAGTTGGAGAAGGTTTCAAAGAAATCACTGGCAGCTCCAGTGGCAGTAAAATCTAATCGGGAATGCTCTATTGTTCTAATCTATCCATGCAATCTGTCTAAATCTAAACTTATGCTAGAGCTATTCCATACCCCTGAAATATGATTTTTAATTTTTTCCCAATTGTAATAAGTCTCATTAACATTTAAGGGTGTTACACAAATCCACCGGTAGTCTGCATGGCAGGACAGTGCTAACTTTACTTTTAGGGCTTGCAGTTCTGTTCCGATATGCATCACCGCTTCCTCCAGAGCATCCACCTTCATTTCCAGTCCTCCGGCCACGACCTCTCGAGCCGCCAAAGCCAAGGAGACACCCTTTGACATAGTATCAACATACTGTGCAGTATGCACCCGCCGGGTTAACGCAACTGCCGCTGGCAAGGAAGTAAAGCAAGCATAGCAATCAAAACCCTTTTAGTAGAGGCTGAAGATCCCTGTAGAGAAGCTATCCTCTGTGCTTGATGGCAAAGTGACTCATTTTGTCCCCATGTGGGTATGGAGGCTTGCTGAGTTGCCCGCGTAGGATGTCCTGGTTGCAGGTCATGAGGCATCTAATCTTCATCCAAAGATAGATTACTGAGATAAGCTTTAGAAACAAACTTAGGGTGTCTTTTTTAATAACTTAATTAAATCTGTTAGCAATGTAACATAACAAGGAACTATCTCAGAAGTGAGTCTTAGTGAACACTAAACCTTAATTAACAAAACTAGAAACTTAGTTTAACAATTTACAAAACTTAATATTCAGTGATTTTTTCATTATGGAGGCATTAACCCTGTAGCCGGGGAAGGCTTTAACCCATTAAATAAAAATGAGGTTTGTCAGGGAGCTGGGAAAAGCCAAGCGGCCGTCTTGGATCTCCCATAGCCCCGACTCTTTGATTTTCAGCTATTGTTCACCCATTTTTAATTACCCAATTTAGGAGTAGACTGTCACCATGTTTTAAGGACATTAGGATAGCACAAGTCTAACAGGGGTTATTTTTTGTAGAAGCAGAATGAGCTTTTACATGTACCATAATCTTAAATAACACTTATTTACCTTACTAAAGTAACAAAAGATTTTAAAAACAAATATAAGTCACTTAAAGGCAAATAAATTTATAATCTATTATTGAAAGATTTATTTTAAGAAAACTTTGTTTTCTTAACATAGAGAGTAGACTAAATTTCAGTCTGTTACCAATTTACCAGATAGCAAACAAACAAAATTTTTCAGTTAATCTTTTGCATTCACCTGGCCAGGGAGGCTGAGTTTGCGCTTCTCCTTCTAGCCCCTTGAGGTGTGAAGTTCGGTTGTTATATTTAAGATCTTTCCTTTTTCTTAACCTGGGCTTCTTATTTTTGTTCGAATAGCAGAATAATGGAGTCAAGAGTGGAGGGGGTTCTTATCCACAGGGAGCTTGCAGTTATCCAAAACCACGGCAGCAAGGGGAAAGAGAGAGAGCTTTGAGTCAGCCCCCAACACAGGCTGATTTAGGTGGCCAGGAAGTTCCGGGATGAGGGCGTGATCGCTGAACGATGATAAGGAAAGAGGACTCAGGGGCTTCCCTGGTGCTCCAGCGGTTGAGACCCCACCGTCAGCTGTGGGGTGGGAGGGGGCAGGTTCCATCTGTGGTCAGGGGGCTAAGATCCCACGTGCCTTGTGGCCCAAAACCCAAAATATGAAACAGAAGCAATATGGCAACAAATTCAACAAAGACTTTAAAAATGGTCCACGTCCAAAACTCTAAAAAAAAAAAAAAACCCAGAGATGCAATAGGGTGAGCAGTGGGTAGACCAAGACAAAAGCCCCTTTCCTCATAATGATTTCATTCTCTCTCCCTCCGCAGTCCGCTCTTTACACACAATAAATCTGATGCAAGATGATGAAAGAAGGATGTGATGTGGAGAAGATAGGTAGCAGGGAATAACATACACACCTTTAAAAAATTTACATTAATTCTTTAATACCATCTATTATCAAATCCATATTCAAATTTCCCCAGCTGTCCTAAAACCATTTCATACAGCTGTTTTATTTAAACTAGGAGCACAGCTTGCATCTGCTTCTTACAGCGTTTGGGCTTCCCAGGTGTCACTAGTGTAAAGAAACTGCCTGCCAGCTCAGGAGACCTAAGAGATGCAGGTTCGTTCGATCCCTGGGTTGGGAAGATGCCCTGGAGAAGGAAATGGCAACCCACTCCAGTATTTTTGCCTGGAGAATCCCATGCACAGGGGAGCCTGGCAGGCTATAGTCCACGGGGTCACAAAGAGTCAGACAGGCATGCACGCATTACGGCTTTTCAAACACTTTTATTCTAGAACTTCCCTCCCCTCCCCACCCTTTTGACATTGGGTTTTTTTTTTAATTGTGGTAAAAGTCAGATGATATAAAACCTACTATATTAACCATATTTAACTGTACAGTTCAGTGGCGCTAAGTACATTCCCATTGTCATGCAAGTCTCCCCATCGTCCCTCTCCCAAATGTTTCACCTTCCTAAATGGAGACGTTGATTCCAGGTGCTTTTTATAAACACTCAGTGAGTCTTTAAAATAACCATGGTATAGAAGGAAGCCCTGAGCCACTGCTCACTCTGATGTACCAGGCACTGTCTTAAATGTACCTGTGGGTGTGTCTCTCTGAGAACCGTCCCCGGCACCTATGATAAGATTCCCGCCATCAAAGGTGAGAAGAGGGTCCCAGAGAGAATAAACACCAGAGTGGATCTGAGTCTAAATGCTGAGCCCCAGCACCGGATGGGCCCCAGGTCTTTCCACAGGACAGAGAATTTCCCGGGAAGGGAGGAAAGAGAAAATCCAGCACGTGACAGGCTTCACCGGTTACAAAGTTATCACTGGGTCATATCACACCCTCTCGTGACCCCGTGGACTGTAGCCCGCCAGGCTCCCCCGTCCACGGGATTCTCCAGGCAAGGATAATGCAGTGGGTTGCCATTCCCTCCTCCAGGGGCTCTTCCCCACCCCAGGATGGAACCTGGGTCTCCTGCATTGCAGGCGGGTTCTTTAGGTCTGAACCACCAGGGAAGCCGCCAGCTTCCATCAAGTCTAGATTAAGTAAATCTCCCCAGGGTGGTGCTCTCACGTTCTGTAACCTCTGTCTCCGCAGGCTGCCTCTGTCTTCTCTTCCAGCTGGTCCCCTCCGCCCGCCGGCGCTGCGGTTCCCAGCCCTGAGTGACCATGGGCGACGTGAGGTTGAACTCTGACCCCTCCTGCTCATCCTCCCCTCCCTCTGAAGTCTCCCCTCCCTCGCCGGAGTCCTCCTCCTCCATCCCCTTCAGAAACGGAGTCATGCCTTTCATGCTCTCTGTCAGCGCAGAGCATCTACAGAGGTTCAAGCAGCTTTTACTGGAGGAGAACCCCAGACCCAACTGCACCCCACTCACCTGGGACCAGCTGAAGTCAGTCCGCTGCGGGGAGGTGGTCCATCTGCTGACCGAGTACTTCCCAGGACGGCGCGCCTGGGAGGTGGCTCATGACATCTTCGCCAAGATGAACCAGACGGAGCTTTGTGTTCAGATACAGAGGGAGCTGAACGGTGAGAGGGGAATCTAGAACAGAGCAGGGGGCGGGCTGGAGAACTCGGCGCTTTCCCAGTCGCTCCTGTGGGCCAGCTGAACACGGGCAAGCAGTGGAGTGTATCTTTGGGCTTCCCTGGCAGCTCAGTGGTAAAGAACTCACCTGCAATGCAGGAGACCTGGGTTCGATCCCTGGGTCAGGGAGATCCCCGGGAGGAGGAAATGGCAACCCACTCCAGTATTCTTGCCTGGAGAATACCATGCACAGAGGAGCCTGGTGGGCTACAGTACATGGGGTTGCAGAGTCAGACAGGACTGAAGCACCTTAGCATGCGTGCATTACAGCTTTTAAAACACTTTTATTCTAGAACTTCCCTCCCCTCCCCACCCTTTTGACATTGGCTTTACTTTACGACTGAGCGACTAAATACACACACACAAACACCCTCCCCGGTACCGTCTGCCTCCGCACTGTCCTCACCTCCCAACATGTTGATGGAAGCGAAGGTATCTTCCTCTCCCTGCACTAAGCAGGTGAGAGGATGAGACTCGTGAATGGCCTGGCCGCCAATCTCTTTAAAGGCCCCGTTGCCTCTGGGCGGCTCTGTCTTTCAGTCCATCTTGTCATGCCTATGAGACAGCCTCCTTTTTTTTTTGTTTTTTCATCTTTTCCAGAAATTTTACCTAACTTGGAACCGGAGGACTTGAACCAGAGAAAGAGGGAGCTGACTTTGGAGGAAGATGAGTCTGGTACGTGTGGTCCCTGCGTGGGCTCTGGCAGATGAGAGGTGGTGGGTCGGGATGAGATGCTGGCTTCCTGAGGCACGGCGGGCTGCAAACGGGTGTGCCCAGCATCCCCTCTGTGAACCAGAACTTCAGAGAAAAGAGTGGTTGTGGACTCATCTCAGGAGGAAGTCCAGCCACCGTCCTTCTCTCTCTCTCATTCGGTTGGATTCAGTCTTTTTTTTCTTAAAATTTATTTTTTTTTAATTTGTTTTTGGCTGTGCCAGGTTTTAATGGTGGCGTGTGGGGTCTCGTTCCCGGCAGGGATAGAACCCGGGCCCTCTGCACTGGGAGCATGGAGCCTCAGCTCCTGGACCACCAGGGCTTGCGGGAAAAGTGCCTGATGGGTGCGCCTGTGTCGGGGTAGACACGGAGGCTTGTTTTCCGCTGGATCGCTTAGTCCTCACGGACAGCTGATGCTGGACCCTGCGTCTCCCCTGTCGTGTTCCTGCAGATAAAATTCGGGAGTACAAGGCACGTGTGATGAGTGAGCATTCAGCCCTGTGGGACAGGACATCTTGGCCTGGGAACAACGTGGACTTCTTTTACCAAGAGCCCTGCAGAGAAGACATACTCCTGCAGTGTCTTCTCCTGCCCAGAAAACCCCAAGGAAGACAGCCCAAGACCGTGGTCCTTCTGGGAGACGCTGGCCTCGGGAAGACCACCGTGGCCAAAAAAGTGATGCTGGAGTGGGCAGAGGACAAGTTCTACGCCCACAAGGTCTGGTTCGCCTTCTACCTCCGCTGCCAGGAGATGGACGGGCCGGAGGAGCGGAGCTTCTCCGAGCTGATCGCCTGCAAGTTGTCCGGGTCTCTGGCTCTCGCGTCTAGGATCCTCTCCCACCCGGAACACCTCCTCCTCCTGCTGGATGGCTTTGAGGAACTAACCTTGACCCTCGTAGACAGACCGGAGGACCTGAGCCAAGACTGGAGCCAGAAAATGCCTGGGTCCGTCCTCCTGACCTCTCTGTTGAGCAAAACGATGCTCCCTGATGCCACGATCATCGTCTTCCTGAGGTTCAACATGTGGAAGACCGTGAGTCCCTTTCTGAAAGACCCCTCTCTGATCACCCTGACGGGCTTCAGCGCGCCGGAGCGATCCAGGTATTTCAGGTCGTACTTCAAAAACGGGCGCGATGCCGACGCGGCCCTGCGCTTCGCCATGGGCAGCGCCGTCCTCTTCTCCATGTGCCGGGCCCCCGTCACCTGCTGGCTGGTCTGCTCCTGCCTGAAGCAGCAGATGGATCGGGACAGCAGCCTGCCGCAGGCATTCCCCAACGCCGCGGCCGTGTTCGTCCACTGCCTCTCCAGCCTGTTGCCAACCCAGGCGCGGCACGCTGTCAGCGAGACCCACCAGGAGCAGGTGAAACGCCTGTGCTCCCTGGCCGCGGAGGGCATGTGGAAGGACCAGTGGGTGTTCGGCGAGACGGATTGCAGCCTGGCCAGACTGGATGAGAGGGACGTCCAGCTGTTTCTCAGGGCGCAGGTCCTCCGGAGGGTGGCGGCCGACAGGGCCCTCGTCGCCTTCACCCACCCGAGCTTCCAGGAGTTCTTTGCTGCCCTGCTGTTCATCCTCTGCTTCCCGCAGCGGCTCAGGAATTTCAAAGCGTTGGACAACTTCCGCGTCCTACAGCTGCTCGCGCATCCCGGGAGGTGGAGAAACCCCCTGGCCGGAATGGCGCTCTTCCTGTTTGGCCTGTTGAACGACACGTGCACCCTCGCGGTGGAGCAGCTGCTGGGGTGCAAGGTGTCCCTGGGGAACAAGAGGAAGCTGCTGAAGATCGCCGCCCTGCCGCCCGACAGTGAGCCCCCGGCCCCACACCACAGGCTCCCCCAGCTCTTCTACTATCTGTACGAGATCCGGGAGGAGGTCTTCGTGGGTCAGATCCTCCATGACTGTCGTAAGGCTCTGCTGGTCCTCAGCAAGATCAGGGACCTGCAGGTCTCCGCTTTCTGCCTCAAGTTCTGCCGACGTCTGCAGGAGCTAGAACTGACCGTCGCCAAAATGACCAGCCTCTCGCCAGGCCCTCTTCCTTCTCCCCAGTAAGTGCTCGGGTCTCTCCTTCGGTGGGATTCGAGGTCCTGCCGGGGAACCTTGTCTAGCATCTCCTGGGCCTCAAGGGTGACCACCTGTCCTGAGTAGATCCCTTGCGCATGGGAGTCTGTCTTATAAACAGTCTGTTCCGGTTTAACAACAACAAAAAAAGTATTGGTAGTGGTGAGCTCATTGGTGACTTCATTACCTCAACCCCAGAGACCATCAGTGAACTACAGAAACTTTGTATATTTTTCTCCTCTCTCATGCAACTAAAGGAAGTGCCTGGGTTAAATGTTCTGCAGAGCATGTGGCGTCATATTCCGAGTAATTCTGCTTGAAACAATGGCTTTGTTGAAAATACGAGCAGGAAACGTGTGCTTATGTCTCAGCTGAGGGCTGTCGTGAACGCTTGGTACAGTTTCACTGAACAGCGTGTCTAAGAGAGTGTGACGCTCTAAACTTCCCATTGTGGTTGTTTAGTCCCTAAGTCTGTCTGACTCTTTGCAACCCCACGGACTGTAGCCCGCCAGGCTCCTCTGTCCATGGGAATCTCCAGCAAGAATACTGGAGTGGGTTGCTGTTTCCCTCTCCAGGGGGTCTTCCTGACCCGGAGATGGAACCCGTGTCTCTTACATCTCCTGCATTGGCAGGCAGGTTCTTTACAGCTGACCCACCAGGGAAGCCCCAAACTGCTGGTGGAAAAGCATAAAAGGGAAGAGAAAGTAATTCCTAAGCTAGGGGAAAAATAACAGGACAGACAGTATTCCTGGGGTGCTGATTTCCACTGAAACTGAGAAAATCCTGGGGGAAGAAAGAAGACCCTTCCTGCCATGCTGCGCGCCCTCCCTCCACGCACCTGGGGCTTCCTTCCATCTATCACCCCTCACTCTGTACACGGTAATGTTTTCAGTCTCTAGGCACGTGCTGTCCAGTGGGGTCTGTGACGGGGAAGAGTGAAGGTGAAAACCAGAGCCAAACCACCGAACACGCTGCTCTTGGGAGAGAGTTTCGATTCTGTGCCCACTGTGCCCTAGTAATCGTCATCATCATCATCATCATCATCATCATCATACTTCCCCTTATTCTGTTCCTTTGTAGAGTTTTTATTCTTCCTTTTTAAAACTGTTTATTTCATGTTGCTGCATAGCCTACTGACGATGCCGTGATGGTTTCGGTTGAACAGTGAAGGGACTCGACCTTACAGACACACGTACCCACTCTCCCCCAAACCCCCTCCCACCCAGGCTGCCACGGAGCCCTGAGCAGGTTCCCTGTGCTACAGAAGGTCCTGGTTGTTCTCCATTTCAAATACAGCCGTGTGTGCATGTCCATCCCACACTCCCTAACCGTCCCTTGCCCCCATCCTTCCGCCCTGCTAACCATAAGCTCCCAGAGAGTCGGACATGACTGAGCGACGGAACTGAACTGAACCATAAGTTTGTTCTCCAAGTCTGTGCGTCTCTTTCTGTTTCATAAGTTCATTTGCATCATTTCTCTCTAGATCCCACAAACGAAGGGTGTCATAGGATCCTTCTCCTTCTCTGTCTGACTTGCTTCAAGGCATTTTTCCTTGATAACAATTTCATAAGCACAGGGCAAGAATACGGTTTCTATCTTGCGACCTACTTCCTGCCCGCATATAAATCCTGACTTGACTGCAAAACAGCTCTCTCTCCCTCAGTCACATTGGGGCCACGAATCTTCCTGGAATGGAATGAGAAATCTCAGAACGGTTCCACTGGGCGACTTTGTACTTCTTTTTTAGTGTGTTATGCGTTTGGCTGCGTGGGTCCGGGTGGCGGCGGCGGCTCCTTCCTTGCATCATGTGGGATCTCCCCTCGCAGCACAGACTCCAGTTGTGGCTCCTGGGCTCAGCAGCTATATCTCGGGGGTTCGCTGCTCTTCAGGCATGCGGGATCTTAGTTCCCNTCATCCTCTGATACTCTCTTCTCCTCCTGCCCTCAATCTTTCCCAGCATCAGGGTCTTTTCCAGTGAGTTAGCTCTTCACATCAGGTGGCCAAAGTATTGGAGCTTCAGCTTCCGCATCCGTCCTTCCAGTGAGTGTTCAGGGTTGACGGGCTGGTAGGATGCTGTGATAAGCGAACACTGCTTACCTCTTCAGCTTTAGGCATGTGGGCTCCCTCGTGGTGAGTGAAGGCATCATCAGAGTTCTGGTGGAAAACCAGTACCTGAGACACTTGGAAATAGAAAACACGCAGATGAGACGCCAAGTGATAGATGCCCTCTGCACCACCCTGAAACACCCGCGGTGCTTTCTGCAGACTCTCAGGTGAGGCCTGAGGCGCGGGGCGGGGAGGGGATGCCGTTCACGGGCTGTGTCAGGACGCTGGTCTTGGGCCCCGTCTGCCTGGCATCTCGCTGTGGTTCAGTTGCCGTGCGTTTCACCCAGCTTTCTTCTTCTATCAGAGTGTCATCGATTTACAGGCTCGTGCTAGCCTCAGGTCTACAGCAGAGTGATTCGGCTCCACAGACAGATTTTTTCAGTCTTTTCCATGACAGGTCACTGTGAGATGCTGAAGGCAGTTCCCTGTGCCATGCTGAGCTGTGCTAAGTCGCTCAGTCATGTCCAACTCTCTGTGACCCCGTGGCCCATAGCCCACCAGGCTCCTCTGTCCATGTGGATTCTCCACGCAAGGATACTGGAGCGGGTTGCAGGGCCCTCCTCCAGGGGATCTTCCCGACCCAGGGATGGAACTGGTGCCTCCTGCTTGGCAGGCGGGTCCCTAACCTGGGAAGCCCTATAGTTCCTTGTGCGACAGAGGAACCCTTGTTGCTTCATCTGCGTTATTAACTAGACTGTAGTTGCCTTACCACCTCGTGTCCATCTCTGCTGTGCAACAGCATGATCTGTTCTGGACATAGTCGATTCTGCACATGTGTCTGTTCACCCTGGACTCCTGATTTCTCCCTCTCCCCACCCCTTCCCCCTTTGGTAAGCTATGCGTTTGTCTCCGATGTTTGTGAGTCTGTTTCTCTTCTGTAAATAAATCCCTTCATGTTATGCTTCAGATTCCACGTATACGTGATACCACAATGTCTGTCTGAGACTCACTTCGCGCAGTATGATCATCTCTGGGGCCATCTCTGTTGCTGCAGATGGCAGTGTTTCATTCCTGTTTGTGACCGTTCACTCGGCTTTTTTAAAAAAGTATGACGGTCTCATACATGCACGCACTGTGCGCCGCTCGCCACCGTCAGGCTAATTAACCCCTTGGCCGGCTCACAACGCCGCCGTTTGAACACTTGAGATCAGCTCTGTTATAGCCACGTGCGTGCACACGGCCACCGTCAGCAGACTGGACCAGAGATCTCCAGAGTTTACTCACCGTATAGCCGGGGGTTGCGCCCTTTAACCATCACTTACTCCACCTCGCCCCAGCTCCTGCAGCCCTCCCTCTGTCCTGGTTCTTCATCCTGAAGGCGGTCTGGCAGATAAACCTGGAAAGGTGTGCTCAAGTGCAGGCGGAGTCCCTGTCTTGGGGCTAGAGCCCCAGAGTTACACCACGCCAGTTCATCACGGCCCCGAGTGTGTGTTATTTTCTGTCATGCTAGTGAAAGTCGCTCAGTTGGGTCTGATCCTTTGTGACCCCGTGGACTATATACAGTCCATGGGACTCTCCAGGCCAGAATCCTGGAGTGGGTAGCCGTTCCCTTCTACAGAGGATCTTCCCGACCCTGGGACTGACCAGGTCTTCCGCATGGCAGGTGGATTCTTCACCAGCTGAGCCACAGGGAAGCCCGTTTTCCGTTGGTGACATGCAGTTCAGATGCTGAATGGATGTGGGTTCACTCGGGGAGGATGGGAACCCCCTCCCGCAGCTCTCGGGGGAGGGCCGAGGCAGACACGAGGTCGGTCGGGGTGGCCGGGGGTACCCCCACCCCGGGAGCTCAGGGCTGCTGTCTCTGTGACTCCCGCAGGCTGGACGGTTGCCCGTTTGACCCCACCAAAGGGGCTGACCTCGCCTGGAGTCTCAGGAAGAACACCCACCTGAAGACCCTGATGCTGAGACGCGGCTGCCTGGAGAGGGACGAGCCATGTGTCCCCGTGTTGGCGCCCCAGCTGGAGAGGCTGTCGTGAGTCTTACGGGGTGCTGCGCTGTGCCTCAGAAAAACAGAAAACGGGAGAGTGTATCTCGGAGCAAAGTGAAGTCCTCTGATTGTTAATGGTGTGGGAGGGGCAGTGCAGGGTTGAGACAGAGAGACAGACGGACGGACAGACAGACAGACAGACAGAGCTCTAAGCCAGCACGTGTCTGCACCTGCTGTCCCGGGAGGAGGAAGCGCAGGGATCCTGACGCTTCGTTGTCCCGCCTTCGCACTGGAACCTTGCCAGCACCGATTCCCTCCTCACGGTGACCCGGGACCCCCGCCCCGCCCCCTCTGGAGGTGGGGCTCAGGCCCCCCCACCCGCCTTTACCGCGACACAGAGCCCTCAGGGGCCCCGCGGTGGCCTCGGCGGCCGTGTGGGCGCTTCCCAGGCGACCGACATCGCAGCCGACTGCTGTGTGTCGCCGTTTCTGCCGCGCTCCTCCTTGGCGCCGAACGGTAATGTGTGTGAACGGGCAAGGATCAGAGTGTCTGTCCGATCTGCCGCTGAGGCCTGAGCTGTCCATGAAGGCCTGCTTTATATATTCAGGGCATCTTCCCAATTTTCTGTAACTTTCTGAGATGTTGTCTCTTCCCATGTCACCTCCAGAAATGTCTTCACTCTTAAGAGTCCCTGCTGGTTGCTTTCTCCTCCCTTTTCGTTCCTCTCTATAACGGTTTTCTTGATCCCCAATTCCTTCTCACATCACGACTCCCAGTCCTCTCCTTTAAACCCGGGAAACCCTAAGAGCCGGTCACAGAAGTGGGATGAGACGTCTGCCTTTAGGACGAAGGCCCTGGTGGAAATCGTCAAGGCTCAGACCAGGAAAAATCTGGTCAAGGGCACGAATTAAACTCCATCCCATAGAAATAAATGAAAAAATAAATAAATAAATAAGCAGGGTGACCCAAAAATAAATAAATAAATAAACTCCATCCCGACTGTGAATGTCTCGCCCGCAGGCTGGAGAATTGTGACCTCACGTCGCTTTCCTACCGAAGTCTTGCCTTTTCTCTCGTGAGTAACCGGAGTCTGACCCACCTGAGCCTGGCAGAAAACGCCCTGCAGGATGACGGGGCGAAGGAGCTCTGGAAAGTCTTACAAAACTTTCCGTCTACCCTGCAGAGGCTGGTGTAAGTCCCTAGACGCCGCTCTCTGGAACGCCCTGGGGAAGAACAGGGCAGTGGGGAGAGACTGCCATGTGTATGTTATATGTTCCTTTATGCCACGGATTGGTCAAGCGCCTACTGCACGCACGACATTGTGTGGACCCTGGAAGAAAGCGTAACAGAGAGGAGGGTGGCAGGGCCTTCAGTTTCAGGGGCAAACTAGCTAGGAGCAGAGTTCTCAGATGTGTGCCGGGCGACCCGGCGGGGAATCAGAGGGTCAGAGATGCTGACATCTTTTCACTGCCCCAGGAACTATTAGCTTGAGCCGTTCCAACACCAGATCGTGGTAAATTCCTTTCAGCAATGCTGTGCATGTATGCTAAGTCACTTCAGTCGTGTCCGACTCTTTGCAACCCCATCAACTGCAGCACTCCAGGCTTCCCTGTCCTTCACCGTCTCCCGGAGTTTGCTCAAACCCATGTCCATTGAGTCGGTGATGCCATCCAACCACCTCATCCTCTGTCACCCCCTTCTCCCGCCCTCAGTCTTTCCCAGCATCAGGGTCTTTTACAGTGAGTCTTCTCTTCGCATCAGGTGGTCGAAGTATTATTGGAGATTCAGGTTCAGCATCACCAATGAATATTGAGGGTGACTTCCTTTAGGATTCACTGGTTTGATCTTGCTGTCCAAGGGACCCTCAAGAGTCTTCTCTAGCACCATAGTTCGAAAGCATCAGTTATTATATTTAGGTAAAGCTGTTCTACAAAAAAAATACAAAAGGCAGAAAAGAAGCTTAAAGGCGTTTTGATTGGTGTTTCTTTGCAGGCTGAGGAATTGCGCCCTGACCTCCGAGTGCTGTCAAGATATAGCGTCTGTTCTTGATAAAAATAAAAACCTGAGAAGTCTGGACCTCGGCTGTAACAGCCTGAGGGACACCGGCGTGATCCTGCTGTGTCAGCACCTGTTGAAACCTGACTCTTGCCTCCAGGTTCTCGAGTAAGCTGTCCCCCTTGCTTTCTTTGGGACCTGTAAAATTCTCTTGGGGTAGAAAGTGGGGTCATGTTTTGCATTTCTGGGGTTTGCCATCCTTCTGGGTAGAGGATTTGGAAGCTTCAGAGCAGCGGTTCTCAGAGTGAGGTCCTCAAATATTGTTGTTCAGTTGCTCGGTCATGTCCGACTCTGACCCTGTGGGTTGTGTGTGTTCAGTTGCTGTCTGACTCTGCAACCCCCATGGATTGTAGCCCGCCAGGCTCCTCTGTGCATGGAATTCTCCAGGCAAGAATACCAGAGTGGGTGGCCATTCTCTTCTCCAGGGGATCTTCCTGACACAAGGATTGAATCTACAACTCCTGCATGGGCAGGTGGTCTCTTAACCTAGGAACCACCTGGGAAGTGGCTCAGACTGTGAATGTTTTTGTCTGGGAAGTTGTTAGAAAGGCAAATTCTTGCATCCTTTGTCTGTCTGTGTCTGGTTTATCTCACTGAGCATCATGCCCTCAAGGGCCACCCAAGTTGTCACAAACGGCAGGGTTTCCTTCTACTCGTAGCTGCGGGGTGATGCATTGTATGTGCCACGCCTTGCTCTTCATGGCTGCATGGTATTCCATGGTGTGAGTGCCACCCGTTTATGCATCCATCTGTCGATGACATCTAGGCTGCTGCCGTATCTTGGCTGTGTAAACGGCGCTACTGTGACATGCGGTACAGATAACTCTATCTGATATTCTGATTTCGATCTCCTAGGTCCATATCCAGACATAGGGCTGCTGGATCCTGTGGGCCCTGCACAGTCCGTGTCTCACAAACACCTCCCATGGTTCCATGATTACTAGAGTTTGTTTTTTTTTTTTATTTTTTTAAAATTNTTTTTTTTTTTTAATTTTTATTAGTTGGAGGCTAATTACTTTACATCATTACAGTAGTTTTTGTTATACATTGATATGAATTAGCCCTGGATTTACATGTATTCCCCATCCCAGTCCCCCCTCCCACCTGATTACTAGAGTTTAAGGACCATCGTTCCAGGAAAAATTCTTCCATTCAGGAAACATCAAGAAAAGTGTGTTTGTTTTAGACTGATACCTTAGATGGAGTCTTCTGAAATCAGCATTTATGCTTAAGGACTCTGTTTTCTGCATATAAATTTTCCTTCTATTATAAGGTCTCTCTGCCAACATCATACCAGCCAGTGACATAGAAGGATTTAAGTCAATTATCCCATTTCTAATTGTTATAGTGTTATTGTTACTCCAGATATTTAGGAAAGATTTGGAAACATCTCTTCTCCAATAACAAAGGTTGAAACTTTTTAACTTATTTTTTATTTATTTTTAGTTTTGTATTGGGATTGATGAACAATGTTCTCTTAGTTTCAGGTGTAGAGCAAAGTGATTCAGTTATGCATATACACCTTTTTTTTTCTGCCTCTTTCCTACCCGCATTTTCTGTTCACTATTGGTATGATCTGGGTTCTAAGTCTAGGTCTTTTTTTCACTCAGATATGTGAGCTTTTATTTTTTTTATTGAAGTACAGTTGCTTATCATATTACACTAGTTTGAGGCATACACCATAGTGATTCAGTATTTTTACAGATTCTACCCCATTAAACACTATTACAAAATAATGACTGTAATTCCCTGTGTTGTACGATAGATACATCCTTGTTATTTATTTATTTTACACTTAATAGTTTGTATCTCAGTTCAATTAGTTTAATTTGCCCTTTTTTCCATCTCCTCATTGTTAACACTAGTTTGTTTTCTATATCTGTGAAATTTCTTCTGTTTTGCATATTTACTTGTACAATTTCTTATATTCCATATATAAGTGACATCACTTAAGTCTAGATCATTAAAGACACTTTGTGTCTTTAATTCCTAGGATTAATCCTTATAATGGATTTCATTTTTGTTGATAATTAACTACTCAAAGGAAATTCATTGGAGGTCACAATTCTTTTCCTCCAGAAGTTTAGTCTTGGGATTTAAATTTTGATTTATCCCCTAGGTTGAATGAAGTATATTTGCAAGTATGAAATACATTTCCAGGTGACCATAAGTGAAAAGAATATATATATATGTATATTTGAATCATTTTGCAGTACCTAGGAAATTAACACAACATGGTAAATCAACTACATGTTTAATAAGTAATCTACTTTATCTTTAACTTTTTTATTTTGTATTAAGGTATAGCTGGGGAGGGAAATGGCAACCCACTCCAGTGTTCTTGCCTGGAAAAAAATCCCAGTGAAGGCAGAGCCTGGTGGGCTGCCGTCTATGGGGTCGCACAGAGTCAGACACGACTGAAGCGACTTAGCAGCAGTGGCAGCATGGCTGATCAACAATGTTGTGATAGTTTCAGGTGAAGAGGGAAGGGACTTGGCCATAACATATATAGACACGTATCTATTCTCTCCCAAACTCCCATCCTAACCAGGCTAACACATAGCATGGACCCGAGTTCCCTGTGCTATGCAGTAGTTTGATTTTTTTAAGACTGCTGCTATATATAAAACAGGTAACCAGCAAGGACCTACTGTGTAACACAGTAGAACTCTGCTCAATACTCTATAATAACCTAAATGGGAAAAAAATCTTAAAGATACATATATACGTACAAGGGAATCTCTTTGCTGAACACCTACAACTAACACAACATTGTCAACCAACTATGCTCCAATATAAAAAAAAATTTTTTAAGGAAAATAAAACTTTTGTTATTGTTGTTGAGTCGCTCAGTCGTGTCCGACTCTTTGCGACCCCATGGACTGCAGCACGCCAGGCCTCCCTGTCCATCACCAACTCCTGGAGTTTACTCAAACTCGTGTCCATTGAGTTGGTGATGCCATCCAACCATCTCATCCTCTGTTGTCCCCTTCTCCTCCCGCCTTCAATCTTTCCCAGAATCAGGGTCTTTTCCAATGAGTTGGCTCTCCATATCAGGTGGCCAAAGCATTGGAGCTTCAGCATCAGTCCTTCCAATGAGTATTCAGGACTGATTTCCTTTAGGAAGGACTGGTTGGATCTCCCTTCTGACCAAAGGGACTCTCCAGTCTTCTCCATCACCTCTTTTCGAAAGCATCAGGTGATTCAGAAGGAAGTGAGGTATTCCGGCCGCAGGGTGCCTTCCGGGCTGTGACCAGCTCGGCTGGCCGGGCGCTCAGATGCCAGACGTGCGCTCAGCCATGGCCTGTTTTCCTCCCACAGGCTGGGGGAGTGCCAGTTCACCTCCGTCTGCTGCCCGGCCCTGACCTCCGTGCTCCTCCACAACCAGACCCTGCGGCACCTGGACCTCAGCGGAAACAGCGTCGGGCTCCAGGGCGCCAAGCTCCTGCAGGACGCCGCCCTGAAGAGGGTGCTCGGCCCCAGGGTCGTCCTGTGAGTGCCCGCCGCTTCCGGTGCGGCGGCCACAGCCCTGGGAGGGCATCGGGAGGGCGACCGGGGAGAGGCCGCTGGCGGAGGCGGCCCCGTCCTGCGCCCCTTTCCTGGGGCTCTGCAGTTCCCTCAGGGGGCTGCCACACCCCACCTCCTGCTGGTCTGATGAGAAAGTGGACCTGGACACTCCCGTCTGCTCTTTTGTCTTCTTTGCATTTGAAGTTTTTATTTATTTATTTTTACAATAGGTCCTGTTGGTTATCTATTTTATTTTTTTTTTAATATTTACTTATTTGGCTGCTCAGGATCTTGCTTGTGGCATGCGGGATCTAGTTCCCTGAGCGGGAACTGAACCTGGGCCCCCTGCACGGGGAGCAGGGAGTCCTAGCTGCTAGACACCACCCGGGAAGCCTGGTTATCTATTTTAAACATAGTTGTGTGCATGTCCACCTCTGCCTGGGTGGCTCAGTGGTAGAGAATCCACCTGCATTGCAGGAGACCTGGGTTTGATCGCTGGGTCAGGACAATCCCCTGGAGAAGGGAAGGGCAACCCACTCCAGTACTCTTACCTGGAGAACCCCATGGACAGGGAGCCTGGTGGGCTACAGTCCACGGGGTCACAAGGAGTCAGACGTGACTGAGCACGTGAATGGGAAGTTGGAAGACTCTGGGCTCACTGAAATCATTCCTCTGATGTGCACCTCAGCTCTCTGGGGCCAGGACCCAGTGTTTTCAGGTCCCGAGTTCCCTCGGGGCTCACCGCGGGGAGTGGCTGGAGGCTGATGGCTGCTGGAGGCAGCTGTTCCTTCCTGAGTTCCCTCACGGCTCACCAGCTCACCTTTGGCTGTACCTGCAACCCCTGATGACTGTGACATCCTTTGTTTACTGATTTGACAGGCAGCATTCCATGTATCCATCTCCTGGGTGGTAAAGTTCTATTCTAGAGGGTTTATGTATTTTTCCAGGACTGCAAGGAAAAAAAAAAAAGCATACACTGATTCTTATCTTTCACAGGAAGAAGAAACAGAGCAATGGAATGGACATGATGAGAAGACTGGAGGGCCCGGTGGTGAACAAGGACGTCCTGGAGATAGTTCTGTGATCAGGCCGCAGGGATGGTTTGATCTCGTGACCCCCCCTGCCCCAGATATAGTTGTGTTTTTTTTTCCTGATGAAAATTGGGAATCGGTTGACTTGTCTGTGGGCCATTCTGAATCTGGGATGGCACAGTTAGTTCTGGGAGATGCTGTGGAGCATGACCTGCAAATAGCCCCCTGGGAGATACTGAAGGTCGTGTGTCCAACAGAGGTTAGTCATGGAATTGGGGTCACCGTGGTAAGGAGCGTTCCAGCTGACTTCTCCTCCTGGCTTCTGGATGTCTTGGAATATGTCCTATTCAAATTGTCACTGACTCACCTACTGGGGTGTTGCAAGAAGTGAAGTAAAATTGTGCATGAATGCAATCAGAAAATGTTTCAAGTGTTTATTTACAATTAGACTTGCAAGTCAACTGTTATGAAGGAAGACATCTTGCCTCGAAAGAGGGTTTAGATCTAGAGAGCATCATACTGAGTGAAGTAAGTCAGACAGAGAAGGGGAAATATCATATGACATCCCTTGTGTGTGGAATGAAAAGAGAGGATACCAATGGACTTGCTTACAAAACAGAGACTCACAGACTTAGAGAACGGACTTATGGTTGCCCTGGGGGAAGGATGGGAGTTACGGAGTGTGGGGTGGACATGCACACATGGCTGTATTCAAAATGCAGAACCAAGAGGACCCACTGGTAGCACCCGGAACCCTGCTCAGGGTTATGTGGCAGCCTGGATGGGAGGGGAGTTTGGGGGAGAGTGGATATGTGTATATGTATGGCTGAGTCCTTCTGCTGTTCACCTAAAAATATCATAACATTGTTAATCAGCTATACCCCACACAAAATAAAAAGCTTAAAGTTTGGGGGGGGGGAATCCAAGGAAGATAATATAGCAAGCGATGGAAAAGGGAAATTATGTCATGTTTAAGGGACTCTTTTTAAAAGGTGAAACACGGGCCTCCCAGGTAGCCCGGTGGTAAAGAATCTGACTGCCCCTGAGGAGACAGGGGTTCAATCCCTGGGCCGTTCAGATTCCATGGGCTGTGCAGCAACTAAGCCAGTGAGCTGGAAACAACAACCGCAACCAAGGAAGTGTGACTCAACTTTTTTAAAGAGTTTAGTCCATTAATAGAGTAAAGCAAAGGGAATTTCCCTGTGACTTATACGAGGACGGGCCTGGGCCCGGATTGGGGGTCTAGAGGGCGGTCTCCTGAATTCCGCCTCCACAGGTATCATCCTAGGACCTCGAGAAGTTGTAGCATATGCAGGTGGCTTCCTGTGCAACCTCGGGGAGGGACTGCACCGCCCAGGACAGGCTTGGCTCTGGTGTTTTCCAGCCACCCTGCTTGCAGGGTCTCAGCTCCTGACCAGAGACCGAGTCTCAGGCTCTCCGCAGTGAAAGCGCGGAGTCCTGCCCCTGGACCAGCTGGGAGTTCCCCAGACTGTGGGCTTTTTGGGGGGTTCTAGCCATCTAACCCAGGACTTCCCTGGGGGCTAAGTGGTAAGGAATCAAACTGCCGGTGCCGGAGACGAGGATTTGATCCCTGGGTCGGAAAGATCCCCTGGAGGAGGGCATGGCAACCTGCTCCGGTCTTCTTGCCTGGAGAATCCCATGGGGGGGAATCCAAGGAAGAAAATATAGCAAGCGATGGAAAAGGGAAATTACGTCATGTTTAAGGGACTCTTTTTAAAAGGTGAAACACGGGCCTCCCAGGTAGCCCGGTGGTAAAGAATCTGACTGCCACTGAAGAGACAGGGGTTCAATCCCTGGACCGTTCAGATTCCACGGGCTGTGCAGCAACTAAGCCAGTGAGCTGGAAACAACAACCGCAACCAAAGAAGTGTGACTCAACTTTTTTAAAGAGTTTAGTCCATTAATAGAGTAAAGCAAAGGGAATTTCCCTGTGACTTATACGAGGACGGGCCTGGGCCCGGATTGGGGGTCTAGAGGGCGGTCTCCTGAATTCCGCCTCCACAGGTATCATCCTAGGACCTCGAGAAGTTGTAGCATATGCAGGTGGCTTCCTGTGCAACCTCGGGGAGGGACTGCACCGCCCAGGACAGGCTTGGCTCTGGTGTTTTCCAGCCACCCTGCTTGCAGGGTCTCAGCTCCTGACCAGAGACCGAGTCTCAGGCTCTCCGCAGTGAAAGCGCGGAGTCCTGCCCCTGGACCAGCTGGGAGTTCCCCAGACTGTGGGCTTTTTGGGGGGTTCTAGCCATCTAACCCAGGACTTCCCTGGGGGCTAAGTGGTAAGGAATCAAACTGCCGGTGCCGGAGACGAGGATTTGATCCCTGGGTCGGAAAGATCCCCTGGAGGAGGGCATGGCAACCTGCTCCGGTCTTCTTGCCTGGAGAATCCCATGGACAGAGGAGCCTGGTGGGCTATGGTCCCTGGAGTTGGACACTAGTGAGCATAGCCCAGCAAACACAGCTATCTAACACACAACTGGATAGAAGCTGGGACGGCATTTAGAGCTCAAAGACCTCGAAAGCAGTGGCACAGTCATTTTCTCTGTGTTAGCATGAGTTCATGTGCCCAACGCACAGTGACGCAAAACAAACGGAAACGTCAGAGTTTGGAGCGGAGAAAGGTTTACTGCAGGGCGGGTCGAAGGGATGAGTAGCTCATGCCCCCCAAAACCCCGAGATCCCCAAAGGGTTTTAGCAAACCATTTTTAAAAGCTAAGTGGAAGAGGATACTTTAAGTCAGAAAAACATCATGTACTAACGCATATAGCCTCATTCTGGGAAAGATTTAGGACAGGAGGAGAAGGGGGTGGCAGAGGATGAGACAGTTGGATGGCATCAATGGTCAGAGTTTGAGCAAGTTCCGGGAGACAGCGCAGGACAGGGAGGCCTGGCATGCTGCAGCCCACGGGGTCACAAAGAGTCAGACACGACTTAGCAACAAGAACGCATATGCATGGAATCTAGAAAAATGGTGCAGGTGCGCCTATTTGCAGGGCAGCAATGGATGCAGATGAACGGACTTGTGGGCACAGCGGGGGAAGGAGAGGAAGGCAAGAGCTGAGAGCTGCGTGGAAACCCCCATTACATGAGCACAACGGAGCCAGCGGGCAGCTGCAGCTCTACGCGCGGTTCGGCCGGCGCTCTGAACGACCCAGAGGGTGGGGTGGGGCGGGGAGGGGGGCTCAGAGGGGGGACACGTGTGTACCCGTGGCTGACTCATGTGGATGTGTGGCAGAGACCAGCGCAACACCATGGGAAGCAGCTATCCTCCAGTTAAAGATAAATAGAAGCAAGGTTGGGTGGGGGTGGTCACAGGTCTGAGGTCAGTTCACGCACAGTTCTCTGGCTGCCTGATGATCAGGGAACGGGGATTCACTTTATCAACACTTAGGCTCCAAGCGGCCTGGGGCTATGAGCTCAGGGTCATCCCATTGTTAACATCTTCTGTTTGGTGGCGGGAGGGGGGTTCACATCCGCAAAGCAGCTCAGGAAATGTGCATCCAGCAGGTCTCTCTGGGTAGGTCAGAGCGGAGTGCAGCAGACTCAGTGGGGGAAGGCCTGTCCCCTCCCTACACGAGACCCCCGAGGGGTCCTGCTCGCTTACATTTTTTTTTGTAAATATGAAACATAAATGCACATGATTCTACAACATATATACATGAATAAATAAATGTGGGAGAAGAGCCAAGACTTCCACACAGAATTCCAAGTAACTTATATAAATACTCTGCCGTCAAAAGAAGGGGTGAACTCCCAAGACTCCTTGAGAGTGTGCCATGCCTCATGACCCCCACCGGAAAGCTGAAGGGTGGAAAGATAGGGAAAAGGTGGGTAGATTTACAGCGGAGAAGCCCGACAAACACGTCAGCCAACCAATCAACATTAACATCGATGCTGATAAATTGTGCTGTATTGATATTTATTCTTGACGTGACGTAATGAAAAATGGCACTTTACCTCTCCCCAAATCTCAAAACTGTATTTTAATTATGAAAAACACATCAAGGCAAATATCAATAGAAGGGTACGCTATAAAAACGCCTGTGTGTTCATGGCTTCAATCATGTCCAACTCTTGTGACCCCAAGGACTATAGCCGACCAGGCTCCTCTGTCCATGGGATTCCTCAGGCAAAAATACTGGAGTGGTTATCAAGCCCTCCTCCAGGGGATCTTCCCGACCCAGAGATCGAACTTGCATCTCCTGCATTGCAGGCAGATTCGCTACCGTCTGAGCCACCAGGGAAACTCTGACAAGTACTCAAAAATCGTCAAGGTCATGAAAGCCAGCTAAAGTCTAAGAACTATCAGAGCTGGCTTGGTTACATTCTGAAACAGTCATCTTGGTCTACGCAAAGTGACGACCAGGTATGACCTGCGTCAGCTTCTTACCCTACAAAGGGGCTCTGGTGCAAAAGTCAAAGCAGCTGGGACCCTCAACGGCCACCCCCAACCCCCGCTCCACTCTCAAGGGGTCAGACAGAAATAAAGGTCCATCCGAAGTCAGACTCGAAACTGAAAATTGCTTTAACTTGTTCTCCAAAGCCCAGAGTTTGACACGTCACACACTGCTGAGGGGATTCACGGTGAATGAGGAGTGGCTGCCCCCAAAATGCTTTCCCTGGGGTCAGAAAGCTGAGAGGTGGACAGCTTAAATCCAGAGAACACCCCCCCCTCCACCACTGACACACTCCCTAGTCCTCCACTTTGCTAAATAAAGCAAGGAGGGACAACACCTTGAGGTGAGCCATCTTTGGGGCACACCGTATTACACGGACTCCTTAAAGATACCGTGGAGGGCTTCCCAGGTGTCTCCGTGGTAAAGAACCCGCCCGCCAATGCAGGAGACTAGAGAACACCCCCCCCCCACACTGACACACTCCCTAGTCCTCCACTTTGCTAAATAAAGCAAGGAGGGACAACGCCTTGAGGTGAGCCATCTTTGGGGCTCATTGTATTACACAGACTCCTTAAAGATACAGTGGAGGGCTTCCCAGGTGGCTCTGTGGTAAAGAACCCGCCCGCCAATGCAGGAGACTCGGGTTCAATTCCTGGGTCGGGAAGATCCCCTGCAGAAGAGAATGGCAACCCACTCCAATATTCTTGCCTGGAGAATCTCACAGACAGAGGAGTCTGGCATCCTGCAGTCCATGGGGTTGCAAAAGAGTCAGACACAACCTGGCAACTAAACAACACAACAGCCCCGCCCCAGACATCCTGTCTTAAATGAAATGGGTGTGGCCTGAGGCTCAGGGATTTTAAA